GATCCCTCCCTTGGATCCTCTTGGTCCAGCATTGCAGTCCTACGTATTATTGACTTCTGCTGGAAGTTCATGGTGGAAGTTGACCAAAAAGTTGCACTGGAGGACCTAGAGATTCCCAAAAAGACCATATTAAATTAAATCTGTGGATATTAAAATCTGCAAAAATGTAACTTGCAAATGTTAATGTCTGACTGCGTATAGATGAGAGAGGTATAAACTGATTATACAGTAGATTCTTGCTTTATCCAACCTTTGCTCATCCAACGTTTGGCATTATCCAACACAGACTGCCTCCCGCCCAGATCCACAGCTGTTTCAAAAAATTGCAATGTTTTGGTGCTGAATTCATAAATACAGTAATTACTACATAATGTTACCATGTATTGAACTGTCGATTCGTTGTTAAACATGATGTTTTGGTGCTTAATTTGTAAAATCATAACATAATTTGACGTTTAAAAGGCTTTTCCTTAATCCCACCTTATTATCCAACATTTTCGCTTATCCAATGTTCTGCCAGCCCATTTATGTTGGATAAGCGAGACTCTACTATATATTTAAATCATTGCTAAAAAGAAGATGGGAAGTCACTTTTATTTTATGTATCTTTTTTCCTCTTCTGCGCTTTCCTGATTTTTCTTTTCTTCATCTCTGCTTCTTCCTGCTTTACTTTTTTCCCAATGTATAGTTTTAAATGTAAATGTTCAAAAAATATATTTTAAAGAGAGAGAGAAAGAGCTAAGAAGAGCCAGACAGTGGTGTTACCATGGAGACAGCCGGAGAATGGGAAGTTTTGGGCTCTTGCATTTAACCTTAACATTGCTGGATTAATGGAAGATGAGGTTTTCTTTACTAACTTTACAGATGTTGGTGGAGACAGTTAGGGATGGGTTCAGGGAGCTGAAAAAGGATTTTAAGGATCTGCAACAGGGACTGAAGGAAGATTGAAAAACTGAGGTTCATAAAATTAAAGAGTCAGTGAAAAGACTGAGTAAGGCTGTGAACGGGGAAAATATAGATGTGAATGTATTAAAAAGAAGAAAACGGATCTGTCTTCTCACGTTTTGTAGATTAAAGAAATGGATATGAAAACAGAAAGGAAGTTTAAGAAAAAAAGTGAAATATGGGAATAATATTGAGATGAATTTAAAATGATCTTAACAGATTAGAGGGATGAGCCAAAACTAACAAAACTACTCCACTTAGGCAGAAAAAATGAAATGCAAAGATACAGAATGGGGGACATCTGGCTCAAGAGCAGTGCTTGTGAAAATACTTTGAGTCCTCGTGGACAACAAGTTAGACATGAGCCAACAATATGTCGCTTAGAAAGCCAATGGGATTTTGGCCTGCATCAATAGGAGTCTAGTGTCTATATCCAGGGAAGTCATGTTACCCCTCTATTCTGCCTTGGTCAGACCACACCTGGAATACTGTGTGTCCAATTCGAGGCACCGCAGTTGAAGGGAGATGTTGACAAGCTGGAATGTGTCCAGAGAAGGGTGACTGAAATGATCAAAGTTCTGGAGAACAAGCCCTATGAGGAGCGGTTTAAAGAGCTGACCATGTTTAGCTTGCAGAAGAGAAGGCTAAGAGCTGTAGCAAACTACTGGAAGCGAGAGTGAGCTTGTGCTCGAGCTCACTCCGAAGCCCCACCTTTTTTCCCCCGAGGCTGCTCTCTCTCTTGCTAGTGTGCCTGTTTTCCCTTGCTAGGGAAGCGATGCGAGTGTACTCTTGCAGTTGGCAGAATTCAACTGTGAGCATACGCTCGCATCCCTGCCCTCTGCAATGGAAAACAGGCACGCTAGCAAGAGAGAGAGCAGCCTCGGGGGAAAAAAAGGCGGGGCTTCAGAGCAAGCCCGAGCGCAAGCTTCCTGTAGTTTGCTGCGGCACGAGCGTACGCTCGCAACGCTGCCCTAGCAAAGGGAAATAGGCGGAGAAAGAGGCGGAGCATCGCTCGTGCTGGCTTAGTTTGCTCTCGCAAAATCCTAGTTTGCTACGGCTCTAAGAAGAGATATGATGAGGGCCATGTATAAATATGGGAGGGGAAGTCATAGGGAGGAAGGAGCAAGCTTGTTTTCTGCTGCCCTGGAGACTAGGATGCGGAACAGCGGATTCAAACTAAACGAAAAGAGATGCCATCTGAACATTAGGAAGAACTTCCTAACTGTGAGAGCTGTTCAGCAGTGAAACTCTCTGCCCCGGAGTGTGGTGGAGGCTCCTTCTTTGGAAGCTCTTAAACAGAGGCTGGATGGTCATCTGTCGGGGGTGCTTTGAATGCGATTTTCCTGCTTCTTGGCAGGAGGTTGGACTGGATGGCCCATGAGGTCCCTTCCAACTTTGTGATTCTATGACTCTATGAATGTGTTCTTTTGAGATCGTCTGGGGAGGCCCTGCTCTCGGTCCCGCCAGCGTCACAGGTGCGGCTGGCGGGAACGAGGGACAGGGCCTTCTCAGTGGTGGCCCCCCGGCTATGGAATGCCCTACCAGCAGACATCAGGCAGGCCCCTTCGCTATTGGCGTTTAGGAGGAGGGTTAAGACGTGGCTCTTCGAACAGGCGTTCGGATAAATATGCAATAACAACTGACTCAGGAATGACGGCACATTGAACAAGGAATGGTAATACGACTGTGAGATCGAGATCTGATTCTAATGAGGTGTGATGATTTTTATGTGTATTGTTTGTGTATGTTTGTTATATAGATTGTTCAGTGTTGCACATTTTATTGTAAACCGCTTCGAGTCGCCTTTTTAGGCTGATATTTGCGGTATACAAAAGAAGTAAATAAATAAATAAATAAATAAATTTCTTTTAACATTAATGTAGAGATTGTTATGTCAAAATAATCATCTTGAGATACGGAATAGAATTGAGAAACATTTGGCTCAGGGCAGATTGAATCTACTGTGGAAAGCAAGAAATTTGAGGGGTCTCTTTTTCAGGAAATGTTTGTTTAGAGAAGGGATGTATCACTTGAACAATGGCAAATGGCATGGAGAAATTCCAAGGGCTGTGATGCATAGAGTAGAGGACTAATAACTAAAATTGCAAGATTAATGGAAAGAATGGGGTTTAGAATGGTCCAGGAATTTGGGCTATTTGGTGGATTAATTGGAAAATATGTCCTTAAAGAGATGTACTTAAATATGTACTTATGTTCAGATTATAAAGACATTGCTTATAAAAGGATCCCTTATAAAATGATACATAAATGTTAGAAAAGATAATAACTAAAACATATGGACATGTAATTGTTAGACAATGTTATAAATATAACAAATGGTGAAATATAGGCAGATAAAGAGGTTATGTTTTAGATTATACTACAGTTAAATGTAGTGATATGGTTATATAAGTAGTAGTATGGTTTTAAGATGTTTGAAAATTATTTATTATCTATAAATGGACTATAGAGATGCATTGAAAAGGGTTATGGAGGTGCTTTACTAGATGTGCCATCCCCAGGAAGATTAGGCAAGCCCCCACAATGTCCTCCTTTCGCAGGAAACTGAAAACCTGGATGTTCCAAGCAGCATCTGAGTTCCAAGTGCACTTCATACACTTCTCTGGCCCTATGGTACGCTGTTTGCACTATCCCTTGCCCAGTCCTATTTCATTAATCCTGGTCATTAGTTTCTGTTGAATCTTGCCTAATAGATCTTCAATGCAATCTGTTTTTTGTTTTTTGTTTTTTACTTTTATTTTGAGTGTGTTTTTTTCTGGGTTGTTGTATTTTATGATGCTCCTATTTTAGTGTCTTTTGTTTTATGAGTTGCTTTTGCCTTTATGTCTTGTGGACATCTCGGGAGATGGTGGCAAGGTATAAGAATAAAGATATTATTATATTATTATGTGCTATATGAGGATAGGGAGAGTTGTTTAAATAAAGGTTGATAACAACATGTATAAAAAGAAAAAAAACTGTAAGAGCGGCATTTTTTAATAATGGTGGGGGGAAATGGAGATTTGTAGGTTTTACATTCATAAAAATAACTTACTATAAATGTGCTATTAATAACTTATTATAAATGTAGATAGAGAAGCTATGGTTAATTGTAAGTATAACCACCAAATAATTGGGAATCAATCTTCTTCTTTTTTCCTTCCTTTTTCCTTTTTTTCACTATTTCTCACTCTTTCCATTGGTGTATTTTTTATCTTTCTTTAATATTGGTACTATGGTAGAAAGAGTAGATTGGGTTGGTGCTTGTTTTAGCGTATCCCAGGACATATTCAACGCTTGCTTTTCACCACCTTGCTCAGAGAAGGGGATGGTTTGTTTTATAAGAAGTAGGGTACAGTATTCACACATACTCATGAATAAATCAACCCATTTTTTTTAGTTGATTTTTTGACTAAAATGTGACCCAAAGCTTTTATTACTGCTGATTTGAATGGATCAAGCAAGACATGCAAAGTAGTATTGACTTTTTATTAGTGACAGTTAGATGGGCTATAGTCCTTTCACATATTTCTAAGGCATTAGCATAAGATCCTATGGATTACTTCATTTGCAAGAAAGTGAGTCAAGCAAATGGACCAGAGATAAGAAACAAGTAGATGGACAACTTTATAAAAATCTGTGACTTCTGTTACTTATGAAAATGGTAATGGCAGCAATATGTGAAATCGCCAAGCACAATGCATCACTGTAGGAAGGTCTCATTATAGGGCCAGCAGTATCATCTGACAAAGTGAGATTTTGGTTCTCTCTCTCGCTCTCTCTGACTTGCTGCTTGAGTTAGGGATAGGTTTTTTCAGAATTAAAATTGCTTTTAGATATTATATTTTATAATGAGAGAAAAGTGGTATATAAATACTGTAAATACATAATAATAAAATATTTCTGGTTTTATTCTGATTGTGAGCCACATTTTGATTTGGTCCAGGTTGTGGTTGGGCTTTCACTTTAAAAAATACTTAAGAAACAAGCAAATTATTGGGGAGTTCACCAGTTCTCTCTGTCTAAGAGCAGTGTTTTCTCACTGATTCTTTCAGGCAGGAGGAAAGCATTACCACCCCACTTGTGCCAGATGTGTGCGTTGCCACCAGATGTTCACGGAAGGAGAAGAGATGTACCTCACAGGTAGGAACAACACTATGGCTATCTACAACTATCCAAACTAGATAGGCAATTGTAATGTTAAGAATTTGCGCTTTTAGTATTTCACGCTGCTTCCATGCACGTGGCATGAGAGCTGTGCTCTTCATCTCTGAAGGTCGCTGAGTCCTTTGTCATGCCATGGTCTAGATTTCCTTCAAGATATGCTGATTAATCTTCAGTGCACATTGCATGAAACACAAATAAATACTATCAGTCTCATTTCAAGAAGCGCCTTGAGATTTGCAAACAGGCCCTATGATTAAGCCCCCCAAGGCAATCTTCTTTAGATGTTCTGATTGCAAGATGCTCAGCTCAGCTACATATCTTGAGGGGGTATGGAATGAAAAATGAAGAAATTGTTGGGTTTGTGTATGAACACAGGGTATGTAGTTGCTATATATCTATTTTCAGCATATTGAGAAACCCTGCTTGTCCCTTATTCAACCTTTAGGTGCTTGTCACCCTGAGTCAGTAATTACTCTGCCTGCTGGCATTAATTGCAGGGTTGTGCCCTTCCCACCTCCACACTGCATTTATTATGGGGTTAGGGATGGGATGCTTATTGTAAGGGGTGGCAATTGACAGATCACTGCGAGAGAGTAGATATGTCATTAGTGTTACATTGGCCTGTCAGCCAATCTTGCATTTATGAGAAACCCTGCCACTGTAATAGGGGTACAGAGAAAGGTTAAACTACCTCCTGAACTATTGCACCTGGTTATCTTGCTTGTACCTTGCCTGCAAGTGGCACCTGTTGCTCTGGTGATCCAAATGAGCATGGAAGGATGGTTCCAAAAAGTGGGAATATGTATGCATGAGGGAAGAAAGAGGGCAAGAGGGTGGGTGAATGGTATGTTTCCAGAAAAGAGCAAAGCCTGATGGAATTCCTTTCCCATTTTTCCTACATTCTTCTCAATTTGATCCTAGATTACATTCCTCCGCATTGTGGTCTTCCCTTTCTGTAACTTCTTAGATCATGTTCATTAACTTTCATGATGTACTTTCCTGTTGAATCCACTGGCTTATGCATATACAGCCATGTTGTAAGATTCATTTCAGTAATAATCCAGGATAAGTATCTAAAGCCTTACTCTCACAGGAGATAGCTGTTGAGAATAGGTTTTAAGGTTGACTTATAGAAGGCAAATCTGAAAAATACATGGTTAATGTTTGCATATATATGTTCAGACACATGCTTGCATTTTCCCCTTAAAAACAGTATCATGAAAACAAATCAGTATATACAAAATACTTATTTAACTAATAAAAATAATTTTTGTCTGAATGATTTGATGTTTTTCTGGGAAAAATCTGATTATCACAATCTGCCTGTTGCGTGTACAGTGTTCCCTCACTTACCACGGGTGTTATGTTCCAGGACCACCTGCAAAAAGTGAAAACCCACAAAGTGGGGACGCTATATATGTATATCACATTCCGAGGGTGAGGCAAAAGAGAGGAGAGATTTAAAGGCACAATGCACTTCTTTTTTTGCTAGCTATCTCTGTTTTGCTTTGCAATCTTTCTTGATTGGCTACCTCTCTCCTGAGGGGGAGGGTGAAACCCCCTTCCACACTCCATCATTGCCAGGAGGCAGGATTAGAATGCCGCTCTGGGCAACGGCAACCATTCATAAACTGGGAGGCAAAAACCTGCAAAACAACAAGTCTACGAAAAGAGAGGGAACACTGTACATTTATACCCAGTGCATCTAGCACCCCATTCTTTACCATACTAATGCTCAGTAGATGCATTGGAGACAATGGTGACACACAACAGAATCATAGTTAAAAGGGCCATGCAGTCCAACCCCCCTGTTATGCAGGAATACACAAACAAAACACTCCCAACAGATCAATTTGATCATGTAGTCTGCATGCTGCCACAAAGGAACTTATATCACAAAGAAAACACTGTGGCCTTTATAGGCACCATTTCTTTGTAGGCAGAACATCAAACATTTATTCTTCAACTCTCCTTTTCCTCAGCCAGCATGAACAGTAGCTATAATGGGTGGGGAACAGTGAGACTCACACCAGAAGCGACTTGCATTTTCTCAAGTCGCTCCTGACATGAAAAAAAAAAAGATAACATTAATTGCCATCTCTTGCAGTCATGCACATGAATCTTAACAGGTTAATAAAACAGGGTCTGGCTTTCTTCTGGAGTCTATTATGTGTAATGTGTTTGTTGACTGCAAAGACAACTCTTTCACTGTTGTGTTAGAGACTATGAGGACTTTATGCTTTTTCCAATAATCTGTCTGGCAGTTTTGATGATGTCTTTGTAAAGATGGGAAGGCAGGAACATATTCAAACCACACAAGGCACTTTGTAACTGAAATTTAAAAGTGTATGATCTTGCTTTGACCTTTATCAGTAGCCAGGAATAGCTAAATTTGAGGCCCAAAGCAATAACCATGATCCTGGGAGAATCATACAGCCACAGAAGTGAAGCATGTGGAATCATATTACATGGTTAGTGTTGTTTCCATTCCTAGCATCCTTCTTTTCATTTCCAGCTGAAGGCATGTTCCTTTGACCACACCATTAAGGTGGAAGGATCTTAGGAAAATCAATAAACCCTAGAAATCAATGGCATGCTCTGTCATCACGAAGTCTAAAAGCTCTTCTCTCCTTCCTTCTTCCCATCAAACAACCATGAAAGCAGAGACAAGGGTGGCAAGGGCAATTTGAACTTACCTTTAAAAATTAACATCGAAATCTGATCAAGGACAATTTGTGAATATATATGTACATGTACACACAGAATCTCTATGCCCAAATATCCAGTGTGTTTTCATTGTATGCACTGGTTTTAATTCAAAGCTGGTCCCAGATTATTAGAAGACCCTGGAGAGCAACAAAGGTCTCCTTCTCCATTTGATGCTTTTAATTCACCCTTTTATTCTTTATAGCCCTGTGTTGCTGAAACCTTTTCCTACCACCTGCCACAGGCAATGCTGCCAGCTATGTTAATCATCCATAAGAAGGGAATGGGATAAGGATTTCAAGTAATATCCTTGAATATTACATGAAAAAATCCTCATGAATTCATCCACCACCTTGTTCCAGCATTTTGCCACCAAACATGGGAAACCAGAAACTGCCCCCATCTGTTGCTGATCTGTTCTCTATGCAAAGTAATATCGAACTTTTAATGTGAGGAGCCATTTATCTGAAAATGCCTTTATTTTCTTTCCACTCGTTAATAATTCGGTGATGTACCACAGTCATGGAAATGTAGTGCTGTGGGCCCTTGGTATCTGCTGTAATTTGGATTTTCCAGACCCATTATAGATACCAAAATCCCTGAATTCCCAGGGCCCATACAGTGACATAGTAAAATGCTGCTCCTCATATAAAATGACAAAATCAAGGTTTTCTCTTTTGAATTTTTCAAAAATATATTTTCAAGCCATGAATGGTTGTGGATACATGATCTGTGGATATGGAGGGTCAGTTGTATTACTTTTCTGAGCCTGAGTGCTATATGCATATTATCTTTCTTGTTGGACAGCCTGTAATTGCAACACATTCTCCTCTTTTCCAGGGTCAGAAGTATGGCATCCCATATGCAAACAAGCAGCAAGAGCAGAAAAAAAACTAAAGGTAAAATGGAACTGGGGTTGCCTTGGGTAGAATTTGAGTTGCCTTGGGAAGAACTTGAGTGACCATCATGATACCTAAAAGCAGGAGGATATTTCACATCGAAAAAGAGCCAGATTTAGGGTCCATCCACATAGCCACATTACCCAGAATATCAAGCCAGATAATCTACAATATCTGGTTTGAACTGGATTATCTGAGTCCACACTGCCATATAATTCAGTTTAGCGTGGATTTTATACAGCTGTGTGGAAGGGCCTTACTTGTTTTGAAAGAGTAGCAATTATGGTCAAAGGAGGAGGAGGAGGAGGAGGAGGAAGAGGAAGAAGAAGAAGAAGAAGAAGAAGACGACGACGATCGAAGTATTGGGAATTCGATCTTGCAAGATTTTTGACATAGGCCTCTTCTATACTACCAGATAATCCAGGTTATCAAAGCAGAAAATCCACATTATCTGATTTGAACTGGATTGCCTTAGTCTACAAAACCATATAATTCAGTTCAAAGCAGATAATGTCGATTTTATATGGCAGTGTAAAACTCTTTGAAGTGATAGCCAAGGAAGCTATACCATAACCATGGATTTAAGGTCCCTTCCATACAGCTGTATAAAATCCTCATTGAACTGAATTATATGGCAGTGTGGACTCGGATAACCCAGTTCAAAGCAGATATTATGGATTATATGCCTTGACATTCTGGGCTATATGGGTGTGTGGAAGGACTCTGAGTCCTTTGTCTTGAGTCCTCATAACCTACATAGCTGTTGTGTTTGTTGCATTGCTATCTGCTTTTATAGCCAACATTTAAAATACCAAAGAGAGGTCTGCTATTCCAAACACTGCCAGGGTGCACGTTGTATACTTGCCATGGAATTGCATTTGGCCATAATTCCCTGGCATGTGTCTGCTACTTGCTGGGGAATGCTGCACACAGCTGCGCACTGTGTATCCACAGCAAACCCACTTGGTACACAAGCTTTGAAAGAGCTGTCATCATCTTCTTTATGGCCTGCAGCTGCCATCTTTCTGGCTAACCATTCTAAGTACTATTCTATTGTAGTTAGAATGGTTGGATAAACAATTTGATCTTGCTTTGCTGGAAAATGGGCTGCCATTTTTCTCGTGTTTCTGCCTCGGAGTTGCATTTCCATTTACATGAAATAAGGCTCTTTAACCCCAAGCTATGGATCAAGATAAAGTTTTTATTTAGTCTGGAACAAAATAACAGGTTGGCTGCAGATGTTGTCTCGGGGGGAAAAAATCAAGAGTATGGGCTCAGTAAAAATAGAGTCAGTCTGTTGGTAGTTAGTTCTAGCCCCTACTAGCTAAACCTGTTGTTGCATTCTGGGGACTGTGAGTAGAAAATGATAGGCATTCCTGTTGGGAGCATTATCACCTGCATTACAAGAAACTGGAGGTTTATGTTAATGGTATCATGAGAGAGTGTGGGATTCTCCTTTTAGATTCAACATGATTTTATTAGCTAAAATATCATTCCACAAGGTGACTGCTGAGTTAACAGTTTATTTTGACATGTGCAATATTAACATTGATTGGCTCAGGGATTGCAACACTACTACATGTTTTACAAAGATCAGGTGATAGCAATAGATCTCTTATGTAACATGTCTTTATAGCATCCTTCCCCAACCAAGGTCTTTCCAGATGCTTTAGTCTAGACCTTTCATCAGACACAACTGGTATGGTCAGTTGTCAAGAAGTTGTAATCTAACAACATTTGCAAGGATCCAGTCTGGAAAAGACTGCTTTGGGGTCTTAGGGCATAGGTATACATTGCAGAGTATGTGTAGTGGCTACTTCCAGTCCATATTATTCTCTCAACACCACATGTCCACAGTGATGTCTAGTAATGTCAGTATTGCATTCAGCATTTCCCTCCCACATACCCCAAAATACCCAAAGAACTGGTGGAAAATGGACACTGTCAAGTCATGTTTTCTGTTAACAAACATGACCAGAGGAAAACGTTGCTGTCTGGATAGGTGAGGAACATGGGATGGTGGAACAGGGGTTGGTGATAGCTTGTATTCTCTTAAATGTCCCATTAGGCATTTGAGTTCTCGGACTGCAAGTACCCAATGAAGGTATACAGCATAGCATTTGATAACATTTGAGAATCATTTAATTAATGCAAAATGGCTGGGTTGTTGGAGTCAGGACTATTCAGATAAATCATATACAAAAAGTGATGAGAATGAAAATGGCCAAGTATGATGGCAAAATGCTTCATATCCAGATATTAAGCTGCTTAAAGAGAAGAAATATTAAAAGATATGTAAGATTTTTGCAGGGTGCATAATATTTCTTTAAATATTTGTTATGTTATGTTTTCTAATGATGATTCCCTGAAAAAGTCAGCCAACTTGATTGGGAAATCCTGGAACTTGTAGAAAAGCTAGGTTTTTTCAAGCTCTGTATTTCTGGCATTACTAAAGACATGCTCTTTGCTTGGGTCAGAGCTATTTGCAATGTTTTCTTCAGTGGTGCAGATTTGTAGAGGATAAGTTGATAACCCAGTATGTGCTTTTCTATGTACACAGCACAGAAGAACGTCAGAAACTTCCATATCCCCACCTGGCTCCAGCATTGGCTCCCCCAACCGAGTCATTTGTGTAAGTACACTTCCCTGGCATGTGGCACCTACGACTACAAAGCCTTGCAGTTTCTAAAGGTGTACATGGAACAGTGTGTCCTGGGGGTTCTGGGAGGGGTGAAAAGAAAATGTTATCTAAGACACTTACGTAGCTGTTGTAGACTAGATTCTTATGGACTGGGAATATTCATCCCCAATCTATGAGTGTGTAAAGGCCCACAGTCCTATGGTACAAGCCCAGCCTGTAATGTCTTTGCCCTTTTCTGAATGTCTAACTGCCAAAGAGTTCTGATATTAACATGACTTCTTTGAGCATCACCTGACTGAAGAACTCAGATGCCTATTGTAAAGGCTGTTCATGAAGTTACTTTCAGTCCTGATCCTACTGCTCCCTTGCCACTGTTGTCTCATCTACAAAAGTAGAGTTCTGTCACCTCCTACAAAATGGGATCTTTCCCTTTCTTGCATTTCTCCATTTTGGTTTGCTCTGATGATGATGCACTCCACCTGAATGTTCTGACTTGGCCCTTTCTCCCCGACATACCAGTTCCCATTTCTTTTCTTTCTATGTTCGTCTATCTGTGTCTTTCCCTTTCCTTAGGCTAAAGTGGATAATCAGATCCTTAATTACAAAGACCTGGCTGCTCTTCCCAAGATTAAAGCCATCTACGAGGTGCAGCGCCCTGACCTCATTTCCTATGAGCCCTATCACAGATATACGTCGGACGAGACATTGGAGAGATATAGCTATGGGGAGGTACAGCTTCTCAGCCATTTCACCATGGACACAGGGGCACAATAAGAGCTCTGATAATACCAGAGCCTTATCCATGTCAAATAATAATAATAATAATAATAATTCCAAAACTTTGGATTTCCTCACAGAAGCCGTCATCATTTTGGCCAATGGTCAGAGATTCTGAGCACTGAAGTCCAAAACATCTGGAGGACCAGAGTTTAGGAATAGCGGTCCTATAGCTATAAGTCTATAGGATGACTTGAGATCCATGATACATCTCTCACATTCCAAAAAAGAAACACTCAAGCAAGTTATTACCATACCTTGTATACAGGTGGAAAATATCCCAGAGAAAAAATGATGTGTGGATCCTGGTTCTGTTATTGGGAAACATGGAAAAAGCATATTGCTTTGAAATCATTTTATGTGTCCAGGGATGAGATATAGAAATCAAGTTTTTATTAAAATGCAATGTAAGTTGTGCAAAAAATTGGGACCTTTCTTGGGATTCTCAAAGAATTATCTCGCTGTTATGTCTGTTATGACGAAGGCTTTCTCTTCAGCCTTGCTCCAATATATTCTAACATCCTTGGTGAACAAGAAGATGATTAGGCATCTTGGTAGCCCCGAAACAATAAATATGGCAGATCTGCTATGCATGTGCCTGACTCATTTAGTGATGTAGTTGAAGCTGTGGCCTTTGGCTGAATCTAGTTGTCCTACATTACATTCCTAGCAGCAGTTTTTGCTTTAGTTTGTGGGATGGAGGATGACGAAGAAGGAATAGGACTGGTCTAAACTTTTCTAGCCTTCAAGTTTCTGCTAAAGAAGTGGGTGGTAACAACATGGCAATGAAATGAAAGGAGTGTTTTTGAGACAGAGGGAACCCAGGTCTTTAGCCATTTAAAACATCCAAAATTCAAGATGTGTATAAAATGCTGAAGGCAGCATATAAATCTTTTCAAAGGTCCAGGCAGCAATCTTTAGCAAGTGAAACTTCAGTCCATCAATTTTATGGAAAGAGGATCTAGGGCACAAGCAGTCCCCTCTTGCAGATTCGCACAGGGCAACTATCTGATTTGCACTAAACTGAATTGTGCTGTGTTTGATCCTATTCTGATTGCTCTTCAATCTAGTGAAGAGTGATATTTTGACTTTCTAAAAAGAAGATGCCACCTCATATTTTCACATTTATTTCATGCATTGGGAAGCTTATGATGCTTGGTGTTTCATGGAGGAAGAGCAACAGCCCAAAAGGAAATAGAGATCTGAGTCAGGACAACTTTTTTTCTAAAGTGAAAATGACTAAATACCTACCTACATGGCTTGGCCTCATGTAAGCCGCTCCGAGTCCCCATTAGGGAGATGGTGGTGGGATATAAATAAAGGTTATTATTATTATTAGTGTCTGAATTTATAGATGTTATTGATACATGGAATTTGGAGTGCTCATGCTCATTTACCAAATTTATGTGTCAAACTCCTATCAAATGGCCCAAGATATTTTACTTTCTGAAAAAAAGAACAAGATAGTGTCCCACCACCCTGCTGTTGTCACCATGTCATATACATGAACTAGCCAAACGGACAGTTGAATCTTTCTTCAACTCTGACAATAGGTTACATTACACCTGGGGACCTTTCAAACTATGTATCAGTGATTCCACTTCAGCAGCCATGACAACATTCTAGGAAATTCTGATGATTTGTACTTTGATGAGGCACTGGACCTCTCTGGGTGCGAATGCCTCTTCCTAAATTACAAATCCCATGATTTCATAGGTTGTTGTCATGGCAGTTAAAGTGGAATAAGAACACTATAACTGTGGTGTTTGAAAAGATCCTTGAAAACAGTAGGCTTGTTCTGGGGGTGTAAGATAGTGTTGGACACAGAGTTCTATCCATAAATGAAATCAATAAAATCTCGGGAAATACAATCTGAAGGTTACAATTGCTGTCTCCCACTTATCTGCTGCCTAAGACATTTGCCCCTCTCTGCCTAATGCTTCCTGCCTGCCCTCCTTCCTCAGCAGGTTGATCTCTAGTAGTAGTACTAAAAGGAGGGTTCTCCTTGAACTGAGTGCAGTATGCTCTGACGTGTTGTCTACATTTTACAGAAATTGGAATATCTTTTTTTACTTCTATTCAAGGATTATTATTAGGCGTTTGTATTTTTTACATGTAGGTGACATGCCACACCATTGTAAACAAAAGTGATAAATGTAGTGACTGTGGGAAGGGAATGAGTAGAGTCTAATACTCACTTCATGATTTCTGAAGATTGAGAACAGCTATATACTGTCTCTGTTCTTTATTTTTTCTCACAGTTCTATGGGAGGAACTTGTAGTCTACCTCTTCTTTATGGTCATTTTGTCTTTTTTTTCTTCTCTCCCAGACTTCCTGAGTCCCCTGACAGCTTTAATAAGTTTTTTTGTCTGCTAAGTAGACAGGAACTTGGGGGAAAATGAATTATGTTGCCCTGAGCGGTCATGTCAACTTGTAATCATTTTCCTTCTCTTTCTTTTCCTTACTCTTCATTCCCTCATGACTTTATCTGGTCTCCTGTCACTTCTAGTCTCTGGGAACGTTGTCTCCATATTCTCAGGTAATCATGCAACATTGCCAGTCCATCATGCGGGCTTGTGTGGCCAGGACTTGTAAAGTCAGAGCTGAAAAAGCATTCCCTGAAGGCTGGGCCAAGGAGATCCCATCTTTAGTCTGACAACCCTGCACCCCATAGGTGCTGCTCTCAATTGAAAAAAAAAAGAGGCTACCTAGAATAAAAGTAAAAGAAGGCTAGGATTTTGTGACACAGGCCCCAGATCTTTAACTATAACACCTCCGTTGCACAAGCAGGGTGTCTACTTATCGGTACTCTTACTTTTCCAGGACATTTATGAAAGCATGGACCTCCGGCAAAGGAGAGCCTCCAGCCCAGGCTACATTGACTCACCCACCTTTAGCCGTCAAGGCATGTCCCCCACCATCCCGCGCTCTCCACATCATTATTACCGCTCAGGTAAGGGCAGAAAGAAGCATGTCCAACAAAAGGTTCTTTCCATCAGGATTCAACTGAGTGCCATGTGAAGCAGAAAACGTCACTGCAGCATCAGCTCCAGGATGTAGACATTTCTCCTCAATGGGCATTCAGCACCAGAACATATTTCCTTTCCCAGAGAGTTTGCACTGTGAAGCCTTATCTCTGGGGGTGGTTGGGAGGGAAGGGGGGCAAAAATAACACACACAATCACACGCATCCCAAATCATTTTCTGTGTTTTATTGGACCATTTCTTGACAGAATGTTAGACAAGCAGCCAACTATATTGTGGTCCATTCCCAGGATACAGAAGAGTGTTCATTATTGGGACTTCACTCTACTATGCATATACCATCTTCCTTTCCTCTGTGGAAAGTCCAAAATGATGACTCCATGCTAGACCTGACTTGGAAAGGAGCAGATGATGTGGGAAGCAACGGATGCCATGGGATTCATATGTACACAGAGAAAGGTGCTAGGAGATTGTTCTTTAGCATGAATGCAACCAGCACTGGGTTTTGACATGTTATATTCAGAATGTGGCAAAACAGAGAAGGAAAACACACCTATAGAAGCATGTCCAACAAAAGGATCTTCTGGCTCATCGGAACCACTACTTTGCCAAAATGAACCATCTGGTGCAGTTGTTGCTGAACTCTGAACCACTACATTTTTTGGAAATGGGTTTAGAACTGCAACTGGAGACTTGCATTGTGGAATGTTTTCTCTGGCTCCTGTTCATTTGTGGATCCAACACTGATCCCTCACCATGGTGCATATAGGAGTCACTGACACTCTCATCATCACTACTGCCACCCCCTTCATCCATGCATCCCTATCATTGATTCACAGGTGGCTTGCTACTCTTCTAACACAGCTGCTTTTTAACACCAATTTTCATCTGCCTCTCTCTTTCTTCCTCTGCTGCTCTCTCCAATCTGCTCTTTCAAGGGACAGAGAGCGGGCGCAGCTCCCCCTACTATAGCCAGTTAGATGTGAGGTCTTCTACACCAACCTCATACCAAGCTCCTAAGCATTTCCACATTCCAGGTAGGCTCTGGAGACCTCTGGCCAACCTGTGAAGGAGCGCTGTGTCCTCTTTTTGGCATGCATGCATGTTCCAAACGTGTATATTGCATGAGTAGTGCTATTGCCAGCTTAGAGTGTGCTAGCAACAGCAAGATACATATGCATGAAAGAGGCCATCCATAAACAAGACCTGCAGCATTTACCTTGCCTCCTCTGACACCTGTTTTGACCCAACCCTATAGCTTCTCCCTCCTGTAGAAAGAAACTGTTTTCCTTTCCTTCCTTTCTCTTTCCTCAAGGGCCACAGGGCAAAGCTTGTCTGCCAGCTAGCTGCTCTTCTACACCCATCCTTGACAGATAATTTATCTTATACTCCTCCTGCTCCCCTCAGGGCCCGCCGCACCCTTCCCCCAGATTTCTCTGGGCTTGCCAGATGGCTGCTCCCCTCCAGCAGAGACTCCAGGGGCCATCAGGTAAGGGCCACCACCCTACCTGTCCTACAAGGAGGGAGGGTAGTCAGCACCTATCCCTTGTCTGCACACAAGTGGGTACACATATGCTCTCCCCAGTTATCTGCCTGCATAGTTTGCAGTCTGCTTTGCTTACAAGGTAAATATAGAATCAGTTCTTCACTCTAAGCACCTGAGGTCCATGGCGTCTCAAAATACCTGGCAGAACTCTGAACCACACCTGGGCTGCTGCTTCAGAGCCTTTTGATATAACCACACATACCTAATATGAATGTTCACTGGCATCCAGGATGCTGGTGTCAGTTGATCAAGCAGGCCAGAAAGATAAATACACACTCCTTAGGAAACAACAGAAGCCATTCCATAGACACTCTTGCAGCAAAACCCAGATTCACCTGTTGGCCTACTGAATTGAGGTCCAAGTTAGTGCCCACACTTCCAGACATTTGCTAGGAGCTCTCCATCCCAGTGTTTATTCTGGAGCAGTGAAGGATCACCAAGTAGATTTGGGGATCATGCAGTCCTCTGTATCAGCAGCCCAGGGCTGAAATCAGGACAAGCCCTATTCCACTTAAGTGAATTGAAATTTCTCCTGCCACTTTTCCCTTCTGTCATTTGCACTGCCGTAAATGGTGTTCCAATGATGGATAGTACTTTAGTTTGTGCTGATGTCTTTTATGGATGGCCTTCTGCCTGCCTCGTTGGTTCAGCCTATAACTAAGTCTCTGTACTGGTAGGGTAGCTCCCTTCCCAGCTTGCTTTGCTTCTCTCTTACCTGGAGAAATTTTGGCTGACTTGTTTTGCTTTTGTGTGAGGATGTGGACAGGTTTACATCCCTATTACCTCTGTGGAGCCAACTTATAGATCACTTGATACCTGTGGTAGGCAACAAGATCGCAGCCATTACCACCACACAAATTAAGTCTTCCCCTCTCTTGAACTGAGGCAAGCCACCAACTGTGCCAGAAGGAGAAATGCCTGCCTGACCCTGCATGCTGTTAATAGTGAGCATGCTCACAGCATGACCTCTTGTGCACAAACACATTCTTTATCTTAGCACATCACTTCAATAGGGCTGATTCCTTCTTCCTCATCAAGCCAGCTCCCAAACAGCTTCTGCTTTACAGATACATAAAATAATAAGGCTGCCTCAGATTTTACCACAATACTTTGGAAAGGTTAGTGGAGAAAGGGGGAAGATTGAAGTAAGCAGGCAATTCGACTGTGGGCAGGTAAACATTCCCACATATATGGTGGCTCCTGTAACTCTAACATACACTCTCTGGTTCCTACTCTCTTTATTTCTCCTGCTTTCCTTCATTATCTTTCTTTTTGCCTCCAGCAGCTGCAGAGAGTAACATCTACCGGAAACCTCCCATCTATAAAAGACACGGTACAGTTTGAGCTTGGCTTTGGCAAATATATGGACACATATAGTGACACCCGGTTTTTCTTTAGCTACAGTAGTGTGAATTGAATGTGGAATGGCTCCATGAGTTTTACAAAAGAGTTATACAAAATGGCCAGAACTGGATACAATGCACCATGAAAAAGAGGGAAATGTACTTTGGGATATTGGAGGTAGGGATGAGCCAGACACTGTTAGGCCTTGGCTATTGGAGGGCATGGTATCTTCACACATTAAGAAGAGCCAATCTGACATTGGTTTCCCAAAGCTCGGACAAACTATTTTTGGACTATAGCCCATAGAATTGCTCAGTCAGCAACTGATGTCCAAAAAATAATAACTTTCCTAGATTCCGAGACTTCCTTTTTGATGTTGCTTACGTAGACAAAGTAGCAGTGGACTGTTTATCTGGCAATCTTTACTGATTCATCAATCACAGAAACTAAAGGTTATGCCAAATATGGAATCATAGGAGCATATATGTGCATATAGATGTCCTGATGATGATGATGATGATGATGATGATGATGATGATGATGATATTATTTTTACTATAACTATTATTACTATAATAGTTATGGTATCTCCTGACCATGGATTGGGTTGTGTCAGGAGATAACCATGAAAGGTGGGACAGAGAGAAACCGTAAGTGCCTTTGGAATAAAGATTAGGAGTTTATACTGGATCCAGGGTCAGAGCAAGTTGCTTTTTAAGATGAAAGTTAAAATGACTCCATCCATAAATACATAGTGATAGTGATCTGTTATGCAAATATGGAGAACTACAGCCTGCTATAATACCTATATTTTATTCATAAAAGTGCATATCTAGACTGAGCTGGGAGTATGTAGAAAACCAGTGCAGGGAATTAAGGAGCTGTGTCATATAGCCAAAGCAGTGAGATAAAATGGTATCAATAGTAAGAATGTTGCATTAATGGGCATGGACAAAGACCAGAGAAGAGGAGGCTGTAGTAGTTAAAATGAAAGATGATTAGACCAAGGTTTGTGCCAAGGTCACAGGGAGGAGGAGCCATATTTTTGTTATATTATATAAAGCAGTGGTTTTCAATCTGTGGGTCCCCAAATGTTTTGGTCTTCAACTCCCAGAAATCCTAACAGCTGGTAAACTGGCTGGGATTTCTAGGAGTTGAAGGCCAAAACACTTGGGGGTCCACAGTTTGAGGACCACTGATATAAAGGGAGAAGCGACCTGATTTGTTAATAGACAAAATAAGGGAACAAAGAAAGGAGGTAAAAGTTGCAGCTGAAATCTGGACTTCAGTCTTATTGAGCAGGATAGATGATAACAGTTTCAGGGGATAAGGAGAATGTATGAAGGTATCCAACTGAGTACGTCAGACAAGTCCTCAATGATGTGGGACTGAATGGTCCCATCAGTGACATAGAAAGTGCTTTTCTACTGTTTATCTCACAATATTAATTTCTTTAAAACGTGGAAACATGTGCCCTTAAGTATTACTGGAATACCACAGGATGAACACATGGAATAGTGGCTCCACAAAGCATGGAATTCTTTGCAAAAACAACCCAAGAAAAGTAAAAGATTTGTATAAACTGGAGGTTACTTCACTGGCAGCACCAGTCAATATGAGAAGAGAAGACATAAAGTCAATTATTTGATGTCCAGCCTGAGGTTGAATCAAGAAGCTATTGGATTTGTTAGTTCTTTCCTTTCCTCCTCCCCCCCCCCCCTTTCTTTTCCTCTTCTTCTCTTTAATAAAGATTCATTTGCTTACACAGCCTAAGGAAACTTTCTGCCATTTTGAGAGCCCTCATTCTGAAGAAGGAAGATCTGTTTTAGGATTGAAACTTAACCAATATATTATTACTGGCAAATACATAGGAGATGATGGAATAAGGGTAGTGTCACTAATGGTCTAACTGGTCACTTGATGTAAATAGGTTCCAGATGTACTTAGCAGGCAGATAATAATAATAATAATAATAATAATAATAATAATAATAATAATAATAATAATACTTTATTTATAGTCTGTCCTCTCTCCCTGAGGGAGAAAACACAATATAAAATATAAATACATGGCCACATCACAAAATTAAATCAAGACAACAATAACAACAAATCCTAATACATAGGGAGAAGTAAAACATCATAAACATATTAGTTATAATTCAAAGGGACATCACTGATAATTATGAAACTAGGTAATGATTAAGATATGTTATATATTAAAAACTTTATAAAACATTATAAAGTGGAAGAAGCTGGAAGAACAACTGATCTGAGCATGGAATGAAGGAAGAGGCTCTGCGGGAGGTTCAGGACTTGCTGTGATTCAAGACAGGGCACTCTTGTCTACAGAAAACTACAGAAACAGTTTCTCTTATTGAAAGTAATGATTTGGGGTCACAAGAGGAGAAGTGCTCTCTGCTAGCCAGGTCCTAGCAGGAAGGGAAGCTTGTTCTTTGCTTACCTATCTGCTTTTTCTGTTTTAGAGATCTTATGGCTTTCCCATTATTGTAGTAACCAAGTGTATCCTCCTCTTTTTTTCCTTTCCCCTTTCATATTTTGCTGTTTGCCTAACACCCTGCCCTGCTGGCTGGCTGCACCCCACTGCATTGTAAGTAGCTGCCATTGCCTCTTCTCCTTGTAGTGGTGATCCCACCATGCATGTTCCCAAAAGTATCCCTCTGACTTTTCCCCAACCACATTTTGAGTTTGAAAACTAACAATACTGCTCTCCATTAGGAACATAAAATAGTTTTCTGTGGTTTTTGTTTTTTAAAAACCTCTCTTATTCTTGTAGAACTATTTATAACAATAATATAATGCAGATTACACATTTCTTAGTGCTCTATAAATATCCTTTTGTATACAAAATCTGGAGTGTTGCCTGATGGCTTAATGTACATTTAAGGGCATATATTCGAAATTCAAGTCACTTCAGTCAGTCATTGCTTAACTTCATTTTATGCATTCTCAAGTCTTGAACAATGGATGAGAATTGTTCCAAATTAATTACACTGTAATGAAAATATAGGCATGTGTCTGTGTTTGTGTGTGTGTTGGTGAAATCTAATATTTGTGAATAGAGGTAAGTCCAGAAGCAAAACATGATTTCTGTATGGAGCCATTTTGAAAAAGAAAAATTGTAGGTGTATACTGTTCAATGTTTGTTGCTTTCTGGCACACAACACTTTGCAGCATTAATTGGACAGCCAGATTTTCTTCAAAATAAGAAATACAGCACTGTTTCTCAACCTGGGGGTCAGGACCCCGGGGGGGGGTCATGTGGGGGATTCACATATTTCTGATAGTCTTAGGAACCCCTTTGGCAGAGAAGGCTGAATATCTCTCTGCTTGTCCTTCTCTTCCATTTTGGAAACAGACCGCGAATACTCCCACCAAAAGCCTTCCTCCTACTCTCTGGATGTAGGTGAACTAACACTCCAAAACTCAAGCAAACCAAACCCTTCCAGTATTTTCTGTTGGTTATGAGAGTTCTGTGTGCCGAGATTGGTTCAATTCCATTGTTGGTGGAGTTCTGAATGCTCTTTGAGTGTAGGTTAACTATAAATCCCAGCAACTACGACTCCCAAATGATAAAAATCAAGCCCACACAACCCCACCAGTATTCAAATTTGGGCATATCGGGTATTTGTGCCAAACTTGGTCCAGTAAATGAAAATACATCCTGCATATCAGATATATACATTACAATTCATAAAAGTAGCAAAATTACAGTTATGAAGTAGCAACAAAAGTAATTTTATGGTTGGAGGTCACCACAACTTGAGGAACTATCTGAAGGGGTCACAGCATTAGAAAGGTTGAAAACCACTGAAATGCAGCAAATCCCCTCAACCCATGCCTCTGTAATATATTATCTCAACCCATAAAACATTGTGGTATAGTCCTGCTCCCCTTTTGCAAAGACCAAAGTGGGTAAGATAGTTTTCAAGCAAATGTATGAATGACTTGTAGAAAAGGTCTGCACCACAACCTCAGAAAATATGTGTGGGCAATGGACCCTTGATATGTGCTAGGGTTTTGGTTCCAGGACTTCCCGTGGATATCAAAATCCATGGATGCTCAAGTCCCATTAAATAAAATGATGAAGTGAAGAGTGGCCCATATATAAACTGGCAAAATATATTTTCTATCCATGGATACAGAATCTGTGGGTATGGAGGGCTGACTATATGCTCTTCCCTCATCCCCCAAGCTCCACTGTCTATTGGGCCCCTACTCCTGCTATCTGTATCAGAAATGTTGTTTACTATGGCATCTCAGCTTTTCTTGGAGGCCTGATTGGCACCAACACTGTCATCATTATAGTACTGAGTTAAAACATGTTTTATTTATTCCAGCCAAAATGTGGGCATAGTTTAAACCTTTTCAACCTAATATGATTTTATTCTGTTTTCAGTTGTTTTCCTTTGTTTTAACCTGCTTTAACTTGAGTTAAAACACCGGCTTGAGATCCCATGATAAGGGACAACATGCAAATACTTTTAAAAATAAGGTCATATCAAGATTATGGTAGTAGGGTTTGTGTCTATAGTCACTCGTATTTTTGCCAAGGGTAAGCAAGCCTATATAAGTCACTAATAAATGGCTTTATGGAAATATTGCCACTTATTATGACACCGGTTTCTCTCTCTAAGAAACACTGCCAAAAGATAAATGCTGCCACTGGACAATTTAGAGCAAAGGGTGGTTCCACCGGAAGAGGTGCTTGCTGAAAAGAGTTAGAGATGCTGCGATTTTTGTCTCTTTCTCCCTCAGTAAGGAAAACATGTGGAAGGAGCAGTGTGGAAAGGAGGGAATGCTATTAGGGGAGGGCAACAGTTTTTAGATCCCCTGGATCCTCCAGGAAAATCATGAAATAAGACAAGGGAATTGAAACACTATCTTGGATCATCTAGAGGTCCAAAACAAATGCAAATAGCTGTAATCCAAAAATTTTACTTTTCTGGAGTTCTGAGTTCAAAGTGTGTTTGTCTCCCCTGAGTATTACTTCCTTTTTATATAAATACTGGACCCTCCAGTCCTTCCTTTCTGCAGGATTAGGATTGTCATGGACATACACAAACAAAAATAAATCAGTCTGTCTTTGTGTCTTTCTTATTCGTTTTATTTGTTGCTTTTACAGATACTCACCCTGCAGCTACGAAAAGCAAAACCAGTGAGGATATTGCCCAGACCTCCAAATATAGCCCAGCCTATTCTCCAGATCCATATTACCATTCTGAGACCGAGTACTGGACTTTCCAAGGATCACCAAAAGGTAGGATTTAACGCCAGGGCAATAAAACCTCAAAATTATTATTATTATTATTATTATTATTATTATTATTATTATTATTATTATTATCTTATTATTATCCCATCTTTTTCCCCATAGGGACTCAAGGTCACTAACAATGACATGACCCCCAGTATAATACAATTTTTAAGAGGCAAAATATATACGTATGAATGTGAAAATTAGAAGAATAATTAAATATTTGTTTCATGGGTGTCAAAATTAAAATGCAGCCAAAATACAATTAAAAATACATTAAAAACTAGGCATACACCCACCCACCACCACCCCTAATTCCACTCACAGCATCCTTTGCAGTCCGCCCCTTGTTGTTGTTCATTCGTTCAGTCGTTTCCAACTCTTCGTGACTTCATGGACCAGTCCACGCCAGAGCTCCCTGTCAGTTGTCACCACCCCCAGCTCCTTCAAGGTCAATCCATTCACTTCAAGGATACCATCCATCCATCTTGCCCTTGGTCGGCCCCTCTTCCTTTTTCCTTCCATTTTCCCAGCATCATATTCTTCTCTAAGCTTTCCTTTCTTCTCATGATGTGGCTAAAGTACTTCATCTTGGCCTCTACTATTCTTCCCTCCAGTGAGCAGTCAGGCTTTATTTCCTGAAGTATGGACTGGTTGGATCTTCTCGCAGTCCAAGGCACTCTCAGAACTTTCCTCCAGCACCACAGTTCAAAAGCATCTATCTTCCTTCGCTCAGCCTTCCCTAAGGTCCAGCTCTCACATCCGTAGGTGACTATGGGGAATACCATTGCTTTAACTATGCGGATCTTCATTGCCAGTGTAATGTCTCTACTCTTCACTATTTTATCAAGATTGGTCATTGCTCTCCTCCCAAGAAGTAAGCGTCTCCTGATTTCCTGGCTGCAGTCTACGTCTGCAGTAATCTTTGTTCCTAGAAATACAAAGTCTGTCACTGCCTCCATGTTTTCTCCCTCTATTTCCCAGTTGTCAATCATTCTTGTTGCCATAATCTTGGGGTTTTTTTTTATGTTTAACTGCAACCCAGCTTTTGCGCTTTCTTCTTTCACCTTGATTAGAAGGCTCCTCAGCTCCTCCTCGCTTTCGGCCATCAAAGTGGTGTCATCTGCATATCTAAGGTTGTTAATGTTTCTTCCAGCAATTTTCACCCCAGCCTTGCATTCTCAAGCCCCGCACATCGCATGATGTGTTCTGCATACAAGTTGAATAGGTTGGGTGAGAGTATACAACCCTGCCATACGCCTTTCCCAATCTTGAACCAGTCTGTTATTCCATTGTTAGTTCTTACTGTTGCTACTTGGTCCTTATACAGATTCCTCAGGAGAGAGACAAGGTGATTTGGTATGTCCCTTATAATTCCCTAAATGCCTGATAGCAGAGATAGGTCTTCAAATGCCTGTGGAAAGCAAGCAGGGATGGATCCATCCTGGTCTCTCTTGGGAGGGAGTTCCATATTCTCACAGCAGCCACCAAAAAGGCCCTCTCCCTTGAGTGGGTAGTGGGACAGAGAGAAGGTGCTCCCCAGAGGAACATAGAGTTCTAACAGGTTCATAGAGTGAAATGTGGCCCTTCAAAGAACTTGGATCCAAGCTGTGTAGGACTTTATAGATCAAAATCACTTTGAATTGTGCCTGAAATGGATCTTCTCGCAGTCAGTTGAACAGTTCAACTGGCACTGGCAGCCAGTTGAACTGTTGCAACAAGGAAGTTGTATGTTCCTTGTAGCCAACCCCAGTTAATAACCTAGCTGCTGCTTTTTGGATCAACTGAAGGTCCTGAGCACTTTTCAAAGGCAGCCCCACATAGAGCTCATTACAGTGGTCCAACTGGGATGTAAGTGAAGCCAAGATCTTCAGCAATGTAGTGAGAATGTCAAGCATGCATTTTGAATAACTATAAAGAAGTATTCCAAGTGTGCACTAAAGGAACCTGATTCGTATACTTATAATCTATAGTTATTGAGTTCTAGAACGTAATCTAAAAGAGAAACCCTTGCAAAGCTGCCCCAGTTGAAATTCTCTCTTTGCATTCTTAAATGTACAGAAGCCCTATCAACTTTTGCAACTAGCCACGTTTTGTACATTGCACTCTGAGCTTCCCAATTAAAAAATGTTAAAAGGAACAAGCTCCTGTGTATCCAAAGCCTTGTGTTTCAAAACCTCCAGTCACTTGGAATACCAGATAACCATGTCTAAATGTTTCCATTTCCCTAACAAACTTCCTAGATTTCTCACTTTTATCATAAACTGTTCCTAGAGCATTCCTTCCTAAGTACCCTGTCTTCATTTCTGTAGCACCACGAGTACGGAGATTCTCATCAGGAGGAGAAGAAGATGGGTTTGATCGAGGGATGCATAAAGTGAGTGCTTAACTTCATTGATTCACCTTCACCCTTTTTATGCTGAGCTTGGATATGTTTTTCCAGCCCTTTCAGCCAAATATGCTTTTGTCCTTCAAGGTCTTTACTCATTGTGCCAGTTTATGCTACTATGCATAAGTAGGAACCTAGAAAAGGAGACAGAAAGGACATTGCTATTTGGTTTTATCTTTGAGGAGCCAATGTAGTGTAGGGTTTGAGCACTGGAGTATGGCTTTGGAGACCAGGGTTCAAATCCCTACTCAGCATGAAAACCCACCCTGAGTGACTCAGACTCGGAAAACCCCACAATAGATCAGAAATGACATGAAGGTGAACAACAAAAATAACCAACAAACCTACACTCTCTTCTCCTGTGTTCCACTGTCCATGAATATGAAATCGCCAGTGGCAATCAGTGGCTCAAAAACAGAAGTTTACATCTTGGAGTAGCTAAATGGTGGTAAAATCAAGGGTGTATTTTCTGAGCTGGAGTCACTGGATTTTGTAGGTGCAAATCCCTGGAAATAATTTCAACAGTGACACTATCTCAGCTTTTGAGTTATGCTTTATTGAATTTTTACCATTTTGTGTCATTATATTTTTGCTAGACCTGTGTATCTTGGAATACAAGTTACGTTAATACATAACAGTCTCAGTGCCACTGAAATTGCTTCTAAAATGAGAAACTGCCTTCATGTATCCAGAGCTTAGGAAATTGTTTTTGAAGAAAGTAGTTAGTTTGACTTATATCTCCAAGGCCTCAAAAGTGTTCAGTTAGTGTTATAGGCATAGTCCTCTTCTCCCATCTACCTTGTCATCACCTCCATGCCCATAACAGAGCACAAGAGCAGCTACACGAGGCAGAACATGATCCCCTCGGGGTGACAAAAGCGGTATACAAATACTGTAAATAAATAAATAACCTATGATATCCCTTCTCCACTACTTATGGGTCTGTTCTATGCTGTAATGTAAAATTAACTACCAATAACTTCATTTTTGTCACCTTTTGTGATGTCTAGATCCACACTGGGATTGGCAGATTGATACTGAAGGAAGAAATGAAGGCCCGATCCAATTCCTATGCCGACCCTTGGACGCCACCCCGCAGCTCAGCTGGCAGTCGAGAAGCACTGCATACAGCCGGCTATGAAAGCTCCTTAAATGGTTGTAAGTAACAACAGACACCCAATTGGGGGGTGAGGTGGGGGAGGGATCCACATACCCAGCCTACGAACACAGGGTCAGTTGCTCAAAACACATGGCCCCGAGAGGTTGCCTTTTATGAGCTATCAGTCACTACAGTATGGCAGAGTTAAAGATGATTGCTTGCGGGAAAAGTCAGACGCAAGATTCACTAATCATAACACAGTGTCAATTCTGCTCTAATATTCTGCCTATAGCACTGGAAAAGGCTGTCCCTCAGTAGCTATAACTACAGGAAAGCAAGCTCTGCAATCCTCCTGGAAGAACTGAATTAAATCAGAACCTTCTTTTTTTTCTCCTATGGAGGTGTTTGTTCCAGCTAGATTTTTATTTTCTCCATACAACATTCATAGGCAGGGATTGTGAGACTGCGGAAAAGAGAACTGCAGTGGAAATGAAAATGTTAAGAAAGGCTGGTCAGGTTTCTGTAGGGAGTGATTCTTTGTGATTCAGAGTTCTCGTGTTCAAAGTAACGGTAAATTTACATCCCCATTTGTAGCTCTTTGCCTGCCCAACAATATTTCCTAGCCTGGAAACCCCCTCCTTCCCAGCTCTTTATAGTGGAAGCAAAAAAAAAAAAGGAGGAGCAAAATTATTCAGTTAGGTTTGAGAGTCTCTACTTGACTATGACAGACATGAAGGAATATATTCCCAGAATAATGAATAGTTTGAAATAGACTCTTCCCAGTGGTGCAAAAGAGAGCCAGCAGGAAATCAGCTTCCTCCTTAATAGCTCCCCATATATGACATTGTCTGCCTAAATAAATCCACTTTGCATTGAGACCATCCTTGCTCAGTAGTAGGTATTTAATCTTCCTTTTCCCAGGTCTTTCCTTATAAACTTCATTGCTAGCTTTCAGAAACTTGCATTATTCTTAATATTTTGACCTTGGAATGGCCTGTGTTTCTTTTGCTGGTGTTCTTTTGGTGCACTTTTTAAAAAGATTGCTTTGTGATCTTATGATGATTAATCAGGTCATTTGCCAGTTGAATGGCATATACATTTTATAACGTTTCTGAACCACTCTTCTCTTTTATGCCTATTGTGATGTGTATCTCAATTCATCCAGTAGGTGTTTGGAGAGATTCTTTGTTGGAGAGATTCCCCATTTGTTGTATATTGTACAGAACAGGGATATACCATGTTTTACCTGGTTTCTACACTTCAGGAATTAAGTGGATATTTAGTATGCTGCCATCTAGTGTTTGTGTTGGTAAATTAGTCTGGGAAGAAAAGTGATCCTCACCAGAATCATATATTTGAAGATGCTGAAATGCATTTGACTGCCAATATAATCCTCTCTGCGTGCGTGCCTGTGTATCTCTGTTTAACTGCATTACGAATCCCAGGCTTAACATGTGCACCTTTTCACCTGCACAGCACTCACGCGATAGCATTCCCTAAAGCCCCTTACCAAGCAGACCCTGAAGGAGTCTTTCATTAATCTTTGATGAACTGCCACACTATCCCATCTTTCTTCCTTCCTTTCATGCAAAGGGGAGTGTGGGTGAGGGGCAAGTTGAAGGTGCAGGTGGAATCTCTCTATAGTGGGAACTGGATCCCTGTTGGCACTATCAACGATGGAGCAGCAGCCTTTTGTAATCATTAAAGGCTGAACATCATCTTGCAGAGAATCATGGAGCTTTTCAATTAGTCTTTTTAAAAAGTAGCCTTTGGATCCAGGAACTTTGCCCAGGAAATTAGAAGACTTGGGATGTATCTATACTGTCAAATGAATGTAGTTTGACACCACTTTAATGGCTATGGCTCAGTGGTGTGGAATCAGGGGAATTGTTTTATAAGCTTTTAGTCTTCTCTGCCAAAGAGTGCTGGTAGTTCACCAAACTACAAATCCATTTTTTTCATGTCAGGAGCAACTTGAGAAACTGCAAGTTGCTTCTGGTGTTAGAGAATTGACCATCTGCAAGGACGTTGTCCAGGGACATCTAGATGTTTTATCATCCTGTGGGAGGTTTCTCTCATTTCCCCACATGAGAAGCTGGATCTGACAGACAGGAGCTCACCCTGCTCCCCAGATTTGAACTGCTGATCTTTTGGTCAGCAGTCCTGCTGGCACATTAGACCACTGTGGGCAATGATTTTATAGCATTGAGCCATAGCTAGTAAAGTAGTGTCAAACTTCATTAATTACAATGTAAATGCAGTCTTAGTTAATGCCAACTGTTTTTCTGTTCACAATCACTTCCCATGCCACTCTTTTATTATCCTTGGTGAAAAGGGTGTAGAATTGTAAATGTGTAAATGGCTAAAGGAGAGAGACTGAAACATCTGCACATACAGAGCGAGAGAGCAGTTAAAGCATCACTTATTTCTATTCAGAATGTAACCACATGGGGAAAAACATAGCCATATAGGGAAGTTGGCCTTTTGTATCCACAGATTCTGCATCCACAACTTCGCCTGGTTTAGCCATTTAATGGGACTTGAGTATCCATATATTTTGGTATCTTGAAGGGAGCCCTGCAACCAAACCCCAGCAGATACCAAGTAGCCACTTCACTTATAAGGTGCACCACTTAGAAAACTCCACAAGAGCATTACTGTCTGCATCAAGAACAGAAGAGCAACTGAAAACTATCAACTAGGGTTGGAAAGGATATTCACCATTATCTGCTTCCTAGCCAAATATTTAGGAAACCTGGTCAGGATGAATAACATACTACCTAAAGACTGTTGTGAAATGATTCCATGCATAAATACCTGTGGCTTCTTTATGCAACAATTTTAGGCTGGGGAGGGTCAAAATGTGGGGGGAAAGCACTGCATATGGTTTTGTGTACATGATTGCTGAGTTTAGCACAAAAACATCAATTTTGCACAAAAGTGGCTATTTTGAGAGGACAGAGTTGCTATTTTTCAGCAAAATATCAGCACTGTTACATATAAAAACGTTTGTATGAAGGGGGAGATTTCTGTGTTTAGTGCAAAAAATATCAGAAATGTGCAAAAAGCACTTATCATTATCTGGAAATGGTGGAGATTTTTGTGCATGTGCAAATGAATAATTTACATACAAAAAACTCACATTCATTTTTGGAAAATAATTTCATAAGTACAAATCAATCTTAAACTAAACACACAGGATTTTTTGTCTAAAGGAGAAAGGCTTCATCTAAAGTGAAAGTGCTGCTTTTTTCAGAGCTGCTCTGTTGAATTAAAGTTGGAAATTCGGCAGTTATGGTCCTTATATATGTGGGGGTTGTCTATATTTGGTGTAACTAGGAATGGAAATAGTGAGTAGATATTTCTGCAATTACAATAGTACCTCCATAGCTGTGTTGGACTATCTCCCTATTTCCACCAATCTTCCTTCACAGGTTTATGTTCACCCCTTGGATATGTCAGTCAGCTCTAAGGCTACACACAGAGACAGTACAGTGAAAAAGTATATATGACTTGTTGTTTTCTCTCCCCACAGCACCGCGGACACATTACCTGGCAGACAGCGGTATGTAAATCTCTATTCCCAGCCTCTCTTACCTTGCCCTTGTTCATTTATTTGAGACAAAGAGTCCTGTGTGTACAGGGAGTTTGTGGAGCTGTAGCAGGCATGGGCTAACTTTGACCCTTCAAGTGATTTGGACTTTAACTCCCACAATTCCTAACAGCCAGTAGATTGTTAGGAATTGTTGGAGTTGAAATCCAAAACACCTGGAGGGCTGAAGTTTGCCCATGTGTGGGCTATAGCAACATACTCTGGGTGGATCCAGACAGGCCTTTATCCCAGGAGAATCCATGTTTTAAAAATGCGAATTTTCCTAAGGGCCTGTCCACGCCCACCCCAGAAAGCATGCATTTTCTGGGGTGAGTGTCCAGATGCTGTTGTGGGACTGGCCCATGAGAACATATGGAGACCCTACTCCCCCAAAGCCCCCAGACCCCTTTGAAAAGTCAAATAAACTTACCTGGCCTCCAATACACTCTCAGAGCAGCACTCCTTGCGCATAGGAATGATATGCCAGGAGAGCGGGGTGGGGAGCATTTTCCCTCCCCCCCCTTCCTGGCGTATCATTTCTATGCGCTGGGAGAGCTGCTCCAAGAGTGCACTGGAGGCTGGGTAAGTTTGACTTTTCAAAGGAGTTTGGGGGCTTTGGGGGAGGGGTGGATATTCCCACAATTTTCTGGACTAATTTAGTCTGGAAAACTGTGGGGATACTGTCTGGACTGCAGTATTCTGCAGTCCAGAACCAGAAATAATGGGTTTCTCCTGCGCTTTTCAAGAAGGTGTGGAATAAACCCACTATCTAATTAATTCACTACAAACCAGGGTTTTCCTGGTTTGTAGTGAATTAATTCGGGACTGTCCAGTACATTGTCTGGACAGCCCCTTCTTTATTGCACAATAAAGGTACTGCTATAAAGGTACTGTCTGCTTACTTACTTAGGCGATCCCTCGCTTTCCGAGGATGATTGTCTTCCAATGTTCTTGTGGATCCGTATGTGGCTGTGGAGCCCTATTCTTGCTCTGCATCTTCTTCCGCAGTGAGGGCATTGGTTTCCAGGTGGAAGGCGGTCTCGGTCGGGGTTGGCTTGATGCGCCTTCCTCTTGGCACGCTTCTCCCTTTCGCCCTCCATTCGTGCCTCCTAAAATTCTGCAGCACTGCTGGTCACAGCTGACCTCCAGCTGGAGCGGTCAAGGGCCAGGGCTTCCCAGTTCTCAGTGTCTATGCCAGAGTTTTTAAGGTTGGTGTCTGAACGGGCCCTCTATGAGAGAATACAGAATGTAGGATGGAGGGGAGGGAAGACTACAAAACCTTCAGTTTCAGACTTTAGTTAAGTGGTTATGTTTTTGCCTTGATGTAAGTATGTCCACACATGCAGGATTGAGGGACGGTCAGCCCCTTATTAGACAGTCTGAGGTGACCCAACTCAGAAGGATTTTCTACCCTATCTGGACACAAAGTACTCTTCTCATTGAAGCCTTTCCTAATCAAGTTAGACATGTCTCTTGTTTTCTAGGTTCTAAGTTTGTTTTTCTTTCTTCCTTAGATCCCCTCATTTCGAAATCTGCCTCTCTTCCTGCCTACAGACGGAATGGACTGCACAGGGTAAGACTGCCAATGGTCTCTCAGCCACCAAACACAGCCACTTCTGGTCATACTCATAGACTGCAGGCCTGTTTGCTATCCCTTTGGAAAATAAAAGATCAAGAAATTATCCCTGTTGCTAAACTAAGGCAATCTGTAGTGCAACAAGCAAAAGTGAAGTGTGTGCCTTTCCTCCTTGGACACAAGTATTCACATCTTTTCCAGGGGGCCTAGGGCTGTGGAGATGCTCTGAGCAGATTAGATTCCCAGGAACAAAGGACCTAAAAAGACAAAGCCAAGCTTCCAGGATCCAACTGGATAGAAAAGACTTTATAACTTTTCTACTGTACAGAAATGGAGGAAAGGTCAAAGACAAGTCCTAAAGCTTACAAAACAAGTGGCTGTTAAAGGAGACTAAATTAGTCATATTTATACAAAGCTTGGTGACAAATTACTGTTTGCACCAAGCAGCCTGCATTTCACATCCACAGATTGACAGACACAACTAGCAGCATCCTTCAAGTAGAATAGAGGAAGCTTCCCCATTGCCAGCAGTTAGATTCACTTGCCAGTCCATTCAATGTCTACATGGAATGAGTACCAGATCATCTTGCCCATCTCAAGTAGTAAAATATCTTGGACTGCTTCTAAAGAAAGCATTTTATCAGGCTGGCAGGATTCATAGAATAGTTAGTGCAGGGTCCTGGAGACTGGATGCAGTGACTCTCAACCTAAGCTGCCCCATTGGATTGTTCTCAAGAAAAAATATATGGTTGTTTTAGTAATTTCACCCTGTTCTCTAGGGCAGGGCTTCTTAAACCTTTCCCACTCTCAACCCCTTTTCACTGATATTTTTTTACATGACACGGGTTTATAGGTATATCAAATAGGTATGGAAATCAAACAATTATTGATAATAAATTACAAATAATTTTATTTTAAAACAATTCTTTGGTATACATATAATTTTACTATTTATTAAAGATGAAAGCAAATTTGGATAGAGATTAATGGACTTGTTTATTTAGAGCATCCCCAACATTTTTCATGCCATGCTGGCATGCTTGGTTTGCAGCAGAATATACCCTGTTGGCTCTCTCCTTTATTCACCTGAATTGGGGAACCGCAATGGGGTGTTTGGAGGTCCCAGTTGCAGAGTGGGTCATGGGCCTAGAATGGACCCATACCTATGTCTCTCTTGTTTCCATTATAGTCTGTTCACACACATGCATGTAATCCATATCCTTTCTTCCAGCCCCAACCCCAAATAAAATATGTGGCATTAACCCTTTCCTCCCCGCACAGGCTGCAGGCAAATTCTTCTTGAATTTTTAATGGCAGAACAGGTATTTTTTATTTTGATTAATTACTGTTTATGAACCCAACTTAGTTTTTTAGAATCAAAATGTAAAGGGGAGTATTTCTGAAGCTGAAAAGATAGCTATCAAGCAAAATCAGCATTTGCAAGTTTTGTTAAACAACATGGCAGACTAATTTTTCTTTTTTATGAAGTACAGCTGAAACATTTGCTGCACATCGTTGCTAACAGACTCATGTAAATGTGTAAAACAGCCACTAATCTCTGCTCTTGCTACACACATTTACTGGCAGACATTTAATGGAGGCCACTCTAGAAGAGCAGAGGGACCATTAATGGAATTCATTCCCATATTGACGGCTGTTTTTGCTCTACTTTTATTTCCTCTGCAGCCTCCCAGCGCTGAGCTTTTCCACTATGACAGCACAAATGCTGTCAACTGGGGGATGAGAGGTAAGTGGAAGAACTGAAGCAAAAATGGGGGGGGGGGGTATATGATAGGACTTGTGAAATAGGGGCCTAAAATCTCCACCTGAGATTTGTTCTTTCTAGAGAGCATGGGAGTAGTACGAGCATGGCACTAGAGAGCATGGTACTCTTATATTAGAGAAATGTGATGTTTTAGAAAGATTTAATTTAAGGTGGTTATTGCTTGCTAGATTTCAGGTCTTGTGAAATCATTTTAAAGGGCAATTGAACACAACAATCATTTGTGATTTCATCTCAAACAAGGATACAAGAATGCAAGACCATATGCTGAAAATCAGAAGAGCCAGATTTTGATACTGGGCACAGTAGAGGACCACAGCATGAGATATTAATTTTAAGTGAACGTTCAATCCAGCCATACATGTACTATTTTTATTCTCATTTATTTCCCACTGAAATTAATGGATTTTATACATTTTTAAATGTAATTATCCCTGAAGTTTCAATTATTCATGGCTAGGTGACTATAGGCTTGACACTGCCTATATGTACCATTGAGTGTAGTTATTCATGGCCAAGAACCAAGATAGCTGTGGAGTAGCTTTATATTTTATTTAGAGCAGTGTGTGTATTGTCCTATACAGAATAACATGCATCACAAGCCTACCAATGTCAAATATTTCAAATACCACTACATCAAACTGTTTTTTTTAYTTTCAGTATTAGGTCTAGAGAATATTAAAGAATAACCTGTGTCTGTCTTTCTCCCCCCCCCCCCCCCTTATCTTAATCTCTTACAGAATACAAGGTAATACTTTCCCAGGAAACTGTAGMATTCTAAAGCTTTGGGTCCTTTCTCTCTGGAAAGTAAGAAGCTACTACTTAAGCTGCTCTGGAATTCTGAATGCCGATCCACAGAAGCCATATTGAACGTGTTGAAAAGAAAACATCAATCTTGCCTCCATGCTAGCCATACTACTTTTGAGAGCTCCTATTTTGATAGAGAGTTTCTCAATGGTCCTATCCTCTACCTTTATATATGTATATGTCTAAGTATAATCTGGAAACATGTGTGTTTAAAGTTATTACATTTCTGCAACCAGAATTTTCATTCTATGGGTTATATACTGTATTTGCCATGTGAAATTTGTCACTTTGGGGAAAATAAATGGTCAGTAATTGAATGCATTTGAAGAACTCATGAGTAAAAGAAGACTAAGAAGAAAGAGGTGAAGGAGGGACAAATATGTCTTTTGCCATCTACTGCTCCTAGGCTCATATTTTCTGGAAGCTCCTCTACTCTGCTAGGAGTTCTTCCTCCTGCCAAATAGAAAGAGCAATTGTTCTTTCCTGTTGGTGTGAAACATTTGTCTCACCTGGATTCTAAGGCCAGAATTTTCTTGGGCCCCATCCACACAACTGAATAAAAGCCCACATTTTCTGCTTTGAACTGGGATATATGGCAGTGTGGACTCAGATAACCCAGTTCAAAGCAGATATTGTGGGTTATATTGCCTTGATATATTATATTGGTCTCTCCTGTCAATAGCTATTAGTCCCTGGTTCTTTCAGGCATTTATTGACCTAGAGATTTCTATAATCACAAAACAGTTCTGGTTCCTGATTAGATATTACAGAATGGCACTCAGCATCCAGAGGGACATGAAAGGACAGGAGATGTCGGTTTCATACTGGAGAACTGGCAACTACATAGGATGCTGACTTAACACTAACTGGAGCCCCCAGTGACTCAATGGGTTAAACCAGGCATCCCCAAACTGTGGCCCTCCAGCCGTTTGGGCCTCCAGCTCCCAGAAGCCCTAATGAGCTTGTTCAATTGTCAGGAGTTCTGGGAGTTGAAGGCCCAAACACCTGGAGGGCCGCAGTTTGAGGATGCCGACAGGACTATTGACCAACAGGTCAGTGGTTCAAATCTGGGGAGAGCAGGTTGAGCTCCCTCTATCAGCTCCAGCTCCCCATGCGGCGACATGCAAAAGCCTCCTACAAGGATGGTAAAACATCAAACATCTGGGCATCCCCTGTGCAACATCCTTGCAAACAACCAATTCTCTCACACCAGAAGCAACTTGCAATTTCTCAAGTTGTTCCTGCCACAGGGAAAATAAACACCAACTCAAGAGCCTTTCTATATTGATCGCTAATGTAGGGACAACATATTGGTAGCTGCCCAGTGGCACCAAACTCTGTTCTGCACAGTTGGGCAGATGGGAACCTTTCCTGCCTCTGATGCTAAGAGAGAGTGAATAGAGAAAAGCCCCCCTTCCCTAGGTACTAGTGCTCTGGCTGATGATACCCAGAGAGTTAAAGAGCAAGATAGGCGAGGTGTCGCAGCTGACATGAGGGTGGGCTATGGGGGGTATTTACAGGGAACTGTCATTCCATGTTCCTGGTCCGGATGAGCCTGTCAACATGAGATGACAATCAAGACAGCTGTAGACCGTTCTAGTTAGTAGCCCAGCTGTCTTGACAGTCGTAGGAAAAGGCCCAAATCCTGGGTCAGGATTCAGGCTTTCCCCTGACTTTGCTTTACTCAGGACAAGATCTCATTAAAAGCAGCCTTGCCCCAGGTTAAGCTAGATTAACCCTTCATGGTGTTTAACTGCTGCAGGGCTGATCCAACTTCATATAGACCTAAATTGTGAGTATAAATGAGCCCTTGCACCATGACTGTCTCACTCTGTACTTACACAACTGCCAAGGACTTTCTGTGGTTTTCCCAACAACACTTGGGTCTCTTTTTTTACATGCAAAGCATACATTCTACCATTGAGCTCAAGTCCTTCCCAGAAGCTCCACAGAAAAAGAGTTTACCTGGATCACCTGTTATTTAAAGCTATGAAATAATAAAAACTTATTTTGAATTCATGGGAAATACAGTTCTTTTGCAGGCTAAAACTAGAGCAACACTTGTTCTGTGTTTCAGTTTCATTGTGCAAATGCCAATTACCATTTTGAGAGAGTTAAAATCACATTGGATGACACTTAGATGATCGTATCTGCATTATATTTGCATAAAACATCAAAACGTGAAAGGGGAGGGCATTTGTATCTGACTTAGATGTTACAAGTTTCCTCAAAACACTATTCACCGTTCACTCATTTCATTTTTTCATACTTGTGGATTAAAACTCTCTGATTTAGCAGCCTATTTTTATCTCTCCCTCTCTAGATATATCCATATGAGCTGCTTCTAGTGACAACAAGGGGGAGGAACCGTTTGCCCAAAGATGCGGACAGAACTCGGTTAGAGGTAAGTGAAATTTGCCAGCCCTCCTGCGAGTGTCTGGGACTGATCCAATCAATTCATTTTCCCATATTATCAGTTTCTTTCTGTGCTAGTTTTGTTTTTTTCAGTGGAAAATGAAAAACAAGATCTGCTGTCCATGAAATGTAATGATAGTCTGTGCAGATATTTTTGTATTTTGTATCTTAAACAGAAGGTTTTGCACTCTTTCCTCTCTTCCATCCTATATTCTGTATTCTTGCACAGAATATGGAGCTATAAACCCAACAGTGTCTATCTCAAGGGGGGAGATATTTTGAAATTTAGATTTTATAGTCTCTTATAATTGACCATGCTGGCTGGGGCTTTGAGTATAAAATCTGGGTCTTTTGAAATCCAAAAGACCCAGAAAGCCAAATGTACCCCATCCCTAGTTGAATCAAGCTTTGAACAAGCTTCAAATCCATTGCTGCAGGCTTTATATGTCAGCTCATACTTATTTCATGCAAGCTCAATGGAATACCAGGAGCCCCCATGGCACAATGGTTTAAACTCTTGTGCTGGCAGGACTGAAGACCGACAGGTCAGAGGTTTGAATCCAGGGAGAGTGCAGATGAGCTCCCTCTATCAGCTCCAGCTCCCCATGCAGAGATATGAGAGAAACCTCCCACAAGGATGGTAAAACATCAAAATATCCAGGCAACCTCTGGGCAACGTCCTTGCAGATGTCCAATTCTCTCACACCAGAAGCAACTTCCAGTTTCTTAAGTCACTCCTGACACACACAAAATGGAACACCAACAGCTAGTGGTATCACACAAATACATTTCATCCTAAATAGTTAACTGCCCTTCATGGTAAATAGTCAACTGTAACAGGTTCAGATCCTTTCTCTCTTCTGTGTGAACATGCTGTGGTGCCAACAACCATTTGTTCTTTCAATATGTTCTTGCTAGATAAATAGAGGAAGAACCAGTGATAAAAACACAATGATGTGGTAGCTTAAATTAGATGCCCTCCCAATTGCTGCAGTGTTTCATGCAAGGATGGGCATCATGTCACACTTGTGCATTAGCTATGCTTGTGTAGCATAAAACCTCTCTTCTTCTCTCTCTCCAGCGTCACCTGTCACCCGAGGAATTTTACCAGGTGTTTGGCATGACCATTGCCGAATTTGATCGCCTGGCCTTGTGGAAGAGGAATGAGCTGAAGAAGCAGGCACGGCTATTTTAGAAGCAGTGCTTTATAAATAAAGATATATATACATATATATATGTATACATACCTATAAATATATGCATATATATAGTTATATGTAATATATATCTATATATATAGAAAGATCTCTATATTGAAATGCTGTATAACTCTTTTTGTTGTACAGTAGAACCCTTGGCTGCTCTCTTCGAAAGCCTGTAGACTGAACTGAAATCTCATGAATATTTTTATGCCCTTTGTTTCTCTTATTCATTTTTTAAAATGTAACTGTTATTTAGGGGAAGTTTTCAAGTCGGGGGAGGAGGCGGGATCCTGTTTTTATATGGGACGATCATTTTCTTACATGAATGTCAGGTAATCTTGGGCATTATCGTATCTCGTCTATCCGTTTCCTACATCCAAGTCCATCCCAAGGGAGGTAAAATGGCAGTGGTAACGGGGCACATTACTTACAAGGAACTAAATTTGTTTCTGAAGCCCAAATGTAATGTAAGGCCATCGGAAGTACTTTGCTGGATCAAGCTAGGGGTTCATCTCATCCAGCCTCTTGTTGCAACATGTTTCTCCACTGCTTGATTCCCATTACTCTGCCTTAGCCATATCCAGGGTTATGTACACATTGTGCTGCTTCATTCTACACCAAGAATGCAATATATTCTACACCAAGAAGGAAAACATAATTTTAGGAATTGTATGTATTAAACATGTTTGCATATAGGAATAGAAGAAGAATCCTCTTGGTTTCCTACTGCGATCATCTAGATGCCTTTGGAAGTTCATGAAATACATTTGGCGGTGTTGATCACCCTCATGGTTTGTCTGCAATACCTAGTAATCAAGCACAGCTCCCCCTGTGCATCAAAGCTGAATTTTGTACCATTGCTAAGGTCTACTTGATAGACCTTTCCGCCATGAATACAGAGTAAATGAGTTGACTTACTTTCTTCTAGTTCCGGAAGTATGCAGATTGCCTTCCCCCAGCCCAGTTCTCCTTAAGACACCTACCAGACTCTGTGTTCTCAAAAATACCAAATTCTGTATATTTTCTGTACTTGCACATGTTGGTGGAATGTACACAGCCTGGCTATTGCCTAGAAGGACCATCAATGAATGCACCCTAGAAGGACCATCCATTAATGCACTTAAAAAAAAAAGGTCTTTTTTTCACTCCTCCAGCTTCACCCTCCCATCGGCAAATAATGGGAGAATCAGCCAATTAAACCAGTAAACACTGCCATGGGAGACCTTAATCTTGCAACCTGAAGATCAACACTATTTATTTTTATGTTTAGATATAGCTAGAAATAGCCGACATCCCTGTTGCATTTCCAAAGGAAACAGACATAACTCTCTCTGTCTGTCTCTGTCTCTCTCTCTCTCTCTCTCTATTGTGTCTTTTAAATAAACATTGTCTCTTGTTGTTAAGAAGAGATGAAACTATACCCAGGCAAATGTGATATTGGAGGCATTGCAGCTGAGCTATAAAGGTTTTTGTAGAACCTATGTCTTTTCTAAAGAAGTGGACTTGGGTCGAAAAGGAAAGGAGGTGAGCTTGGACAAATGCTGTTGTATGCTGGAACATCTTACTCATATTTGCAGTACTTAGTATGGATTTTATTGGCCTTTTCTGGAAATTAGCAATGCCTCCAATACCAGATAAAACCCATATGATAGCCTTTTAAATGAAGAAATGTATATGGAATGTCTTTATCTCTGTGGGAAATTGTAGGTTTGTTCTGCTTTCTTAAAAAAGTTTTCTTATCTAAATACATTGTTTGAACAAAAATTGTATATTGTCTCAGCTCTTTTTTGGTATTTTTTCCTCTTCAGAATTAATAGGGAAGATCGTAACCAAACACTGTATTTCTGTACTACAGGAACAATACAAGTATAGAGATTCTCTCTTGCTGATAATTCTAAGTGCTGCTCCTTAAACGGCAAAATCCAGGATTCCAGAGGATGTTGCCATGACAGTTAAAGTGGAATCAGTGTTGTGTGATGAGAAAGGGACTCTAAACATTAGCCGAGTGGATTGCATTGTATTACGTACTTGACAAGGGGGTATTGAAATCACAGTGACAATATTTTCATGAAATGAATTATAGGTACACCTCAAATAATAATAATAATAATAATAATAATAATAATAATAATAATAAAACAACTTTGTTTATATTCTGTTCTATCTCCCTGAGGAGTCTCTAAGTGGATTACAGAATACATTTATGGCAAACATTCAATGCCGTTATACAATTAACCACAAAGAGAGACAGTTCTTGGACAGAGGCAAGGCTTCCCTCTTTTTCATTTTCGGTATCTAGTGGCTGTGCTCAACTCGGCCATGGGGAGGTGCTGTTGTTCCATTTTCCCACGCCGAGCAGCCTGTTGTATACGGCCAAAGCTGAAATGTTCTTGGGGATTGTTTCTTCAACAGAAATGTTGGTATCCAAGACAGATATCATTTGGAAGGTCAGGCATTTTTCTTACAATATGTTGCAGCAAAACATTTGGTTCAAAGCTAAGCAAAGTGCATATGTGGAACAAAATAAGCAGGTCATATAAGCCTTTCATAAGTAAACAAAAACACTCATTTGAACCTTCTAGGCAGGCCCGTAGCCAGGATTTTGTTTCGGGGGGGGGGGCTGAGTTTGATTCGGCGGGTTGAATCTGAGTGAAAGAGGATCTGCCCTAGCAAACCTTTTGTATCGTTACCCCAATACCCCCATGCATATGGGATATATTGAGCATGGTGATCAGATCATGATATGAATAAACATAACAGTTTAAATAATGTACCAGTAAGGCCTTCTCGCGGACCACCATGAGAATTTCGGGGGGGGGGGCTGAAGCCCCCCCCCCTGGCTACATGCCTGCTTCTAGGGATGACTCAGAACTTTTTCCAAAATGTATCTGAGATAACTTTTTGTTTCATCAATCCTCCAGCTTTCTTATGATTTCCATGTTAGTACCCAAATATGGAGATCAATGCTCTTTTGTAGCATGTTGTGGGGAACAACATCCATGTTCATTCAACATCCATGTTCATTCAGGGATTCTGGATGCAGCTGCTGTTTATCTTTCCTGTTGTAGGCAGGCACAAATGGCAACAGAAGGATTGGCTAAAGTAGAATCTCATTCCTTCCCAGTTAAACTTTATTGCATTGCTTACTGTAGATACACACTGGGTTACAACCTGACACGGACATACTGTGTTTTTCCAGCCCCTCCTTCACCAGCCATTCAATATTAATGTTTCTAAAAGTGAGGGGAAAGAGGAGATTTAGCATAAACAACTGTGGAAAATTTTATTGCCTGACCTTTTTAAACAGAAGTAGGAAGCATGAGCAGTCCTACTGAGATTTAATTCCCAACTAAGTGTTAATAATAATTATACTAATAATAATAATACTTTATTTGTAGACTGCCCTATCTCATAAGGTTGAAGATTTACATAAAATACAAAGAAGACCTAGCCTAGAGTCCCTTTACAATTTATCTTAATGGACCTAGGTCCTAGGGGTGGGTACAGTATGTCCCTGAGGCCACCGTGTGATTTTAACACTTTTTATAAACTTTGACCTATCCAGATTTTCCATACCAAAAAAGTGACTTAAATTTTGGACATTTCCAGGAAGCCTTCAGAAGAGACAATTTCATAGTTTTCATAGATTGCAAGATCTCCCACGTAAAAAATGTCAAGTCTTTTCAAAGCCCATTTTCTGGATACCTCTCATTTTTCTTTCTCCCACTAATATTTCTGTTGGGAGCAATCCATGCAGTCCTCAGAGGGTTCCTGGACATGAAAGGAGTCTCCATCCAAACCAAAATTGTTGACTCCAGCTCTAAAATAATTACATTATATTGGATATGTTACTCTGAGACATTGTTTCTACAAGAAATAGACTGATGGCTGAACTGACATAGCTCTCCTTTCACGCTATTCGTCAAAAATTGTGAGAATTCCTCCTTTGAATCTTCTCTCCCACATACCCATGAAAGCTGTTGGCATAAAGGTTCCTGAAATCCTGGGGAGTTTGTGAACACAAGAGTTTTAATGACTGGCTCATCTTGAAGCTCTGCTATAGATTGCCAAAGTAAAAGGGGCAGAGGTTGAATTATAAATGAAGGCTTCTTTCTGGTGTTCCCCAATGAATACACTCATGTATCATTTGTTCTATTGCGGTGGTGTGGCTCTGCTGTAGATACTATCTTCTTCCGGCCTTTAACTCGGAGCAGAGAGGTTCCTGTCAATCGATACAGCCTGGCCGTCTCCTGTACTCAGACCAAGACAGAAAAGATTAACAATGGGAATGCTTAAGAAGTAAATTGATCCCATCTTACTCATTGATTACTAGATATAAGAGTACAAAATGGGTACTCAAGGATTTCTCATTGTTCCACCATTATGACTGTCTGGCTTGGAAATGACACAGAAGAGGGCCTTCTTGGTGGCTGCTCCCAAACTATGGAAGCCCTTAGTAGGTTTGTTTGACCCCCTTTTTGCTCTCATTTCAATGAAAAATAAAGTCTTTTTCATGTAAATAAACACTTGTTGATTAATGGATGAGGCAAAAGGGCTTTTTGTGCATCTGGATCTTTTTCTCTTTATTATTATGTCTTTTAAATTATTTTATACTGTTTAAATTATGTGTGTTTTTACATGACAGCTAATTTAATTGGTTTGTTTTTTCAGTTTCCATCAGGTTTTCAGTTATATCTTGTAGCCACTTGGGGTCACCTCTCAAAAGAAAAGCAGGCTGGAAATTAATTAAATAAACAAATAACAACATTTCACATTCCTGTGTTGTGGAAAGTCGCAAGACGGGTGCTAATTATCTAAAAGTAACATCAGTGATGATGGTTATCTTAAGGAATACAAAAAAGATAAACAATCTTTTTAAAACTTGTGTGTGAGCACACATTATGCATCATCCCACATAGTTGTGTTGCAATACAGCCATACGTCAGCTAACAAACCTAGGAATAAGATGCTCCTTTTTATGTGAGCCAAGCTCAGGATTATCCAAGGGGGTGATACTATTTATTTTATTTATTACTAATGGCAAAAATTCAATGAAGTACACACAGAAATCACAATAACAAATTACTACATGTAACTATGAACTTAAAATCAGTTAAAACCATTAAAAATAAAATTTAAACATTCAGACATGCATAAAATTATCCTAGTATAAAAAACATTAAAATCCCATGATCCAGAAATCGTATATCGTAGCCATTCCAAATTGCCATGGCACGTGTTTCTTAGTTATTCTTTGTACTGCATTATTTATTAGCCAAAGGCTAGATCCCAGAACCACCTTTTAATTGTCTTTCTAAAGGCCAGGAGGGAGAAGGCTGATCTAATCTCACTGGGGAGGGAGTTCCTGAGCTGAGGAGCCACCACTGAGAAGACCCTGTCTCTCGTCCCTACCAACCACACTTGCGATGGAGGCGGGACCGACAGCAGGGCCTCCTCAGATGATCTTATCCATGATGGTTCATAAAGGGAGATACATTTGGACAGGTAAGCTGGGCCGGTACCATTTTAGGGCCTTATAGGTTTCAGCCAGCACCTTGAATTGTGCCCGGTAGCAGACTAGCACCCAGTGGAGCTGGCGTAACCGGGGGGGCGGGGCTGTATGCTCCCTGTACCCCACTCCAGTGAGTAATCTGGCTGCTGCCTATTGGACCAATTGAAGCTTCCAAACAGTGTTCAAAGGTAACTCTACATAGAGAGTGTTGAAGTAGTCTAGACGGGAGGTAACCAGAGCGTGGACTACTATGGCCACTATCCCTATAAAACAGTGGTTCCCAACACTTTTCTGACCAGGGACCACTTTGACCAGGGACCACTCCCCAAGATTAGTACCAAAGGGGTTACAAAATAGTTTTTGATTATTTGGGGTGCTGATTCAGAAGATTGCATTGGATCGACCACATCAGCTCTAGTTTCTGATACAGAACATATATCGTCCAGTAGTTGCCATCTGTTTGCCCACAGAAAATCAGGTTGGGAACCACTGCTATAAAATATGTCCAGCATATCTGATAACTCTCTTAAAATCTAGACCAAACCCCAGAATTTATTCATGACACCATAGCCATGGAAGTTAAAAGCCACCATTCTTTCTTCCACAGCAGCAACTGTGTGTGCATGTGTAGATGTTTTGGCCATAACCCAGATCTCTATCTTAGGTCCCATCTACAATGCCATATAATGCAGTTTGAAACTACAATATGTGAGTCTACATTAATCATATAATGCAGTTTCAAATTGCATAGTGGCAGTGTAGATGAGGCCATACATTGGTCAGCATAGTCACTTCAATATTAGTAATTTGGTGAACATTTTTACATCCACACATCTGTAATACAGTCCTTAATTCTTTGTTATCTGAAGACAGATTCGAGAGGTTTCCATTTGACATATTCTTGAATACTTTTTAACATTATAATTACAAAAAAAAAATCCCCAACCATCTCAACTAATTCAAAGCAATGGGACTAAACCTCACACCTTTGAGAATGCATGTCTCTGCACTGCAAATATGGATTCTATAATATTTTCTATATATTTAAAGGCCAGTAAAAGTGTTACCAGTTATCTCAATGCTATTTTGTTTCCATTTTAAAAAAGGATTTATGATTAAGGAACTGGAATCTATCTGCAGCCTGCAATACCACAAGGAATCACTAGATGGGTTGCTGTGAGTTTTTTGGTTTGGTTTGGTTTGGTTTTTGACTTTGCAAACTTTATGGCTGTGTCAATGCTATTCAAGCTTG